AGATTTAAGGTGCGTGGACAGGCAGATACGATCACAGGCAAAACTCCACCCTATCCCAGACAAATGGCCAAAAAATGATACCCTATCCCGGACTTGGAGCTCTGATAAAGGGACCCTATTGAGCGGCAGACACAGATACCCGTATAGCAAATATAGGGGAGTACCCCTACCCCCCTACCCCCCCCTTGGGATAACAATTATGTATTTGACTTAAAGGTTAACTCTCCATATTGCTGGGGTGAAAGCGTAGCTATTAACTGATATATGGACGGCTCTTTAAAAGGTGCTTACCTGTGCTTGTTATTGCTCTTCATGCACTAATACAGTGCATTTAACTTAAGGGTGTACTGACATATCCATTGCTAGGGAAATCCAGTAGTTCTCTAAAATGACAAACAAAAGTAAAATCGCTTTCGTATTAAGTATTAAGCCTTACCAAACAAAAATAACACATTCTATGACGTCATTGTATGACGTCATCGCGTGACGTCATTAATACGAAAAAATGCTAACTATATTAAACGATTTAAACTTGGATGAAATTAATCTTTCGATTTAAGTCCGTAAAGCCAAGCATGTGTTTTTAGAATGATTGCCAAATAAGCTTTTTACGATTTTTTAAATGCCACAAATAAGCGAAAAATGCCAGTAACTTTCGTATTTTTTATTTTTCGCCAAACCCATGCTTGGTTATGAAGAGGAGGCTGTGAAGAACATAAATATTGAAAAAAACATGTCCATTTAATGTTTCGCACCAAAGATTATATTTTTTAAATGATACCATACATTTTATGTAAACAAAAACCTTTCCACCGGAAGTAAAAATTTTCCTGCCATGAAAACGCGCACGCGCCCGCTTCTCCGATTGGCTAGCATCGGCTATCATAGCAACCAGGTCGTCTAGAAACGGATACGTCAGTACACCCTTAATATGTTGAACTGAAAGCCAACCCGTTACTTTAATTTTACCATTTGTTTTTACCATATATATAGATGAACTATGGTCAGCAGCAGACAGTAGTATACCATCAGCAAGTAGTTACCATTCCACCACAGCCACCTAATTTCCAACAAGTTCGGCCTGTACACTGTCAATGCCCATTTTGCCATAGCATGATCATGTCTAAAGTCAGCCGAGAAACTGGCACAACAACGTATCTATATTGCTTGATGTTGTCCTTGGTCTGGTGAGTATATGGTGTAAATCAGTCTAGTACCTAGGCATTCTCAATGCAACAGAAG